AACACCCCCCCCCCCCCCCCCCCCCCCCCCCCCCCCCCCCCCCCCCCCCCCCCCCCCCCCCCCCCCCCCCCCCCCCCCCCCCCCCCCCCCCCCCCCCCCCCCCCCCCCCCCCAAATATTCTCAAGACAGGTCATAGGAAACAAAAACGCAACAAGAAATGAAAAGACGAGAAAATTTCAAAATTCACGTACCGTGCTTCTGCATGACAGCAAGGAACTTGACGATAACCTTGGAGGAAGGACGGATGAGGACCTGGCGCTTGCCAGCCTTCTCGGCGTTGTTCATGGCGTTAAGCGCATCGTTGAGGACGGAGGTCTTGACCATTTTGACGGTTTAGTAGAATCGAGATTCTCAAATCGTAACGTTTAAAAGTAAGGATTATGAGGTATCTGTTCGACGAAGGCGATTTAAGTCAGCCACCACTAGTCTTCGAGCGCAAAGAGTGCCCCTTTTTTGCATTGCAAGGAGTTCTTCAGCCCGTGCCGAGTTGGGAGATGCGTATCATCTTGGCTTCCTGGATCGCGATTCCTGAGAATTGTCTATAATTCAAAAGGAAGCAATCTAGACAAGATGATTGCATCCCCAGACTAGCTGGAAGGCTGTTGTTGGGGGAGGATATAGCACATACCTCGAGAGATGGTCGTCGATGGTTGAAGCGGAAGAATCTGACGATCGGTGAAAGTTTGGTTTTCGGGTGGTGCGCGGGTAGGGTTTGTGTGTGAGGTAGCCCTTATCAGAAAATGGTCACGTGGTGATAAGCTGCTACATGTCGGTGCCTGAACCTTCGAAGGTTAGAAGGCATCACTATTCTGTTAACTAGTGAACTGTACCAGATAACTACAATGAATAATATATCTGGAACTCCAGATTGTACCTACATAATACAAAGTATAGAAGCAAAATGAGAGCTCGAAAAAAAGAAAAAAATCACCATTAGAAGATCAAAACAGATAGTGATACAAACATCTTTACTCCTACTACTACTAACTCATCAGCAGCATAATTCACTTATTCCGTCCGCGGGAAAGATTCAGATGGGCGGTTCTATACATGGGTTTCCAGCTTGATAGCATGGTTGTGGGCAAATATCGGTGTATACGAGGAAGGGAGACGAAATCAGGGACAGCTTTTTCATGACAATGACTCTTTTCTGGAGGGGGTGACATGAGGGGAAAGGATACATGAATGGGGAGCACAGTAGAGGGGGAGGGGATACATGAATTCTTGGGCTACATGATTCGCAATGCTATAATATGCGAGGGGCGGGGTCTTGTCTAATTAAAAACAACATAGAAGGGGATTGGGAAAGATGAAAAGGTGAAAGGGTTGTATCAAGAAGAAAAAGGAAAATCAGACAGGGCCGTACAGGGATTGGGAAAGGTTACTCATTCGAATGTGTGTCATAAGGGAATTGAGCAGCAGCAAAGGTATGGGGGAACGGAGTTCGCGACCAAAGGGAGTTATGGGAGGGGAATCCTGTGCTGGGAAATAAAGGGGAGAGGGATTTGAGGCTACCGCCCAAGCGTTCAGTACGACAACGTCGAGAATAGAACAGCTATCCTGTACACATCAGGAGCACCGATTGGGTGTGGGCTCAAGCGACCCTAGGACCTGTGGCATTGACACCAACAGGCCCGAAGTGGGTGGCAGATGCTTTGGCAGACGGGACCGGACCAGAATCAGTGGCAATCAACCAGGTAAGACATAATCACGGCTTTACGACATACCAGCGCCCATGTTGATCTGACGCTTGACTTGCTCACGAGTCCAGCGGGCAGTCTCAATTGTGCGCTCGCTGTACTGTCTGGTTGTGCGAGTCTCTCTCACGAGGGAAGTGACCCAGTCGTTGCGGAAGTAAACAGCGAGCTCTCCGTTGGGGAAAGCATCAGCAAGATCACTATTGAATAGTTAGTATATTTAATCGAGAATAGAAGCCGGCAAGACATACCCAATAACACCCATGGCAGATCGCATCAGACCTTCGCTGCGGTTGCTCTCCTGGGAGATAATGTGAAGAAGCTGGAAGATAGACTCGATGAAAGGCTGGAGTTGGGTGACTGCAAGCTAATTAGCATGTTGAGATCGTATGTGTGGAGAGTGAAGAGTAACGTACTGGAAGGAGTGCCCTTGTAGGACAGAAGAATACCACCCCAAGCATCCATGATGCCCTCACGGAGAGAAACAATATAATCCACCATGTCGTATGGGAGGTCGGAGCTGGTGGTCACGCTGGAGGCTTGCTGGAGAACCTGGCCAACGACCGCCAAGTACGTATCAAAGTTGGTTCCGATGGCCTGGGCGATATCGCCGAAGGTCTCAAGAATCGCAGGCTTGAGCTGGTTGGTGGAAGTCTGTTTGTAAAATTAGCATTAGACGTCAACCTCGATATATATGAAGCTCGATATATATGAAGGAACAATCTTACCTGAAGAGTCTTGAGCAGGAGGTTCATGAAGGTGTCGCAGTAAGGCTGGACCTTCTCATTCAAAGCACGAGCAATGTCACTGACCAAGCCGATGGCCATAGCGCAGAGGCCGGGCTCTTCCTGGTTGCCCAAGGCGTTGTACAGGAATGGGCTAAATGAATCCATGTACTTGATGAAATCATCCTCAAGAGCACTTGCAATAGCACCAACGGTGGCGAAGATGACATCCGGCACGCTCGACTTTGCGCCAAGGGTAGTCAGTACTTGAAGCAGCACGCTCATAATACGGTCAGCCTGAGGCTTGATCTCGGCCTCGAAGCGCTGAACGATGGCCAGAATGACACTGATCAAGCTGGTCTGCATCTCCTCGAGGAGAATACGGTCCTCAGCGCTAACGACCTGCTGCTGCATGGGAACAGTGTGCTCAAGACGCTGGATGATAACATCTGAGAGTTTAGCAACCATAGGCAGGCTATCGTTAGCAGAGTTCATAACAAAGGAGTTGAGAACTTCATATCCAGCGGTACGGAGCTGGTTATCGGCGTCTTGTCTGTACGGGCGTTAGATGAAAGGAATCAAAGGGTTATCGCTTAGGGAACATACCGCTCGGTCACGGTCAGTAGGGACTTCACACTGTCTTCAAAGTGCTTTGAGAGAGGGTTGGTCTGTGAGCCATCGTCACCAGCGAATCGGTCTGCGACGTTCATAAGAGCCCAGCAGCAGGAGCTAGCGATCTTGGGGGAGTTGGCGAGGCCGTTGAAAAGACAAGAGATAAGCGGCTGGAGGTGGACCTCGGGATCGAGGACCTCGGGGCAGCAGTCGCACACGCGGCCCAGGGCGTAGGCGGTGGAGTCCCGGACGGAGATAGAGCTATCCTCCATCATGCCAAGCAAAACAGACAAGGCCTGTTTGATCAGAGGCTCTAGAACACTGGGTTCGGGGCCTTCCATGATAGCGCCAAAAGCAGCGACAGCAGCATCACGGCGGTGCCAGTCCTCATTACGGATGTTCTCCTCGACGAACGTCACGACGGGCTGAATAACATCACCCTGCACACACTGGGCGTAAAGCTGCATAGCCTGGTAGGCAGCACGGGAGACATTGTACTCATCATCACCAGCGTCCTCGTCCTGTCGGCACATAGATTGCAGCAGAACGGGAACAACTTCGCGGGTAGCAACGCGAGCAAATCCGAAGAAAGGACGAGCCTCAACGCCCTCTTGCTGAGCCTAAAGTAACATGATATCAGTACATGGTCAAGGTCACTCAGCCTTATGCGCTTAATTACCTCAGCGTTGTCATCCTCGATAGCGATCTCCTCCTCGCAGACTGTGCACCAGAACTCAATAGCCAGCTTGGCGACTTCCTCTTCCTCGCTCTTCATGCCCATGATGCTCAGGCCAAACAGAGCCTTCTCCATGTAGAAGCGCATCTTCTCGTAGTAGGATCCCATGATGCGGTTCAAGCAGCCGAATGCAGCAGCCTGCACACGGACCTCATCGGCCTGGGTGGCCTCGCAGACGACCTGCATAATATAGTTACGCTCTCCCTCGTTATCCATGTTGGTTCGCACGAAATCGACAGCATCACTAAGAGCGGCGATAGCAGCATAACGAACATCCATGTTCTGCTCCTCGCGCCGAGCACCCTGGACGACCGCGGTAAGGATAGCATTGGAGTGTTGTGTCAGGCTGGCGCGGAGATCAGGATCTTGCGACTCGCAAATGTAACCGATGGCAGTGAGAGATGACTGCTTCAGTGCGTCGTCTCCAGTAGCGACATTTTGGACAAGAATGCCCATCAATTCGGGCCACTCACCACGCGGCAACTCGATGGCGGCGATGGAAACAATCAGTGTAGCGGCAGCATTTCCGGCGCGAGCATCGGGTGACTGCAGGGTCTTGAGCGCAAGCTCTTTAACCTGTGACTTGGTCTCGGCGTTGATGCTCTGGGCCCATCGAAGCTGCACCTCGCGCAACTTGGCTTGGTCCCGGAAAGTGAAAGCGTTCTTCAAAGCGATACCAGCAGCCACACGGATGTGAGCGGGGCTGCTTTCGTTGGCGAGTTCTTGACCGAGGGTGATGAGGTAGGCAGCCTATCAGGCGACAAAAGTATCAGTATTCGGAATCCTGGGGAAATCTTTCATGGCTCGTGACAGGACGAAGGGGGGTAAGAGGAGACACATACGAAGTCAACCTCCGCAGCGTGGGCGAGTTGCTGTTCGGCATTGCTACGCTCGGCCGCATCTGGCGCGAGGGTACTCTGCAACACCTGACGGGCGTCCATGATGTGCAAAGAAATGAGGGATGTGGGGGGGGGGGGAGAAAAAAGACGGAAAAAAGAGGTGGAGAAGAGATTAGAAAAAAGACTTTAAAACCCCTCTGGACCCGGATCAATCAAGGGTTCAACACTCGCTGATCACCACGATAGAAGCAGTGGTGGAAAGAGGATTTCCTGTGGAAGAGTGGGAAGAAGGGACGGGTGTTTTTGTGGATATGACGAGGCGGCATGCACTAGGTCTTTCCGCGACGAGAAGCAGAGAGGAAAAGGTGCCTTGAGTGCACGCCCAGATTTCAACACACAATAATTGGGTGGAAAGGTCTGGAGGAGATGGGAATAGCTGTAGAAGTGCAAGATATGTGAAGAGACTAAAACAAAGATTCGAAGCACGAAAGACCACAATGGGTGAGGTTCTACGGGGGGCAATCTCTGATTGGCCCTGTGGAGGGGTTAGTCATATACACGTGATCTTCTGCCTCAGGCCGGGTCCCTCCCTTGCAGCCAAGGACTTTTTACCAAAAAGTGATGCATCTGAGAAGATCAATATTTGCTGTTCACCTTGTGTTCGTTGCATTTTTGTAGCTTGGTGACCATGAAATTTGTGCCTCTTGGATCTTAACTGGAGACTTAACGAAATAAGCAAAGGATTATAGCTTATTCCTAGGTCTACATAGAGAAAGTCCTCTGTACGGAGTACGGTTTATGACATTTACCGCCATTTTATATCGTACCTATTCCGTTCTGCTACTCATTATTCTTTTATAGTACTGAGAGAGAGAAATAACTTAAAAAAAAGATTGCCAGCATATTGAAGTATTGCTATCTTAAGTTAACCAACTGAACACTCTCTTAGATTATTCTCACTCACGATGCCAAAAATAAAGTTCACCATTCTCTTACATCACTTAGCTATCAACTTGCTCCCTCTTCGCCATGCCATCATTATGTTTCCGTACCCTGCTCCTTCAGTCTTATCAATTGAAATGACTTCGCAGCATTCCTGGTTCCGGGGCCCCGAGCTCCGTAGTATTGTCTTCGATGCTGGATTGTCCTCAAGCGCGTTAACGAACACGAGCACCGAAAAAATCCCGACCACTCCGCTATCTCCTATGCCTCCGTCAAGTACCAGTGCAACAAACACGGAGATGCTAGCAAAATCGCGTTCGTTAGGATATATAAGCAACTGCCCCACCTGGGCACAGAGTTTGACGATTATACTACCCGCGCTAGGCAAGCTAGGGCGTGGACTCCGCCCGAGCTAGTAGCATATAAGACTCTTACCGATAAGCAGTCGGAAGTCACCCCCCGCCTCCTAGGATATAGGGAAGAGGAGCAAGAGAGCTCTGCTCTTGTACCCGCTGGCTTCCTGGTCTCGTTGCGTGGGAGCAAGTGCCTGGTATTTAGCTAGGGGATAGTCTTGGCGCAAAGGTCTTCTGGGATATGAGTGTTGATCAACGCCACAATATTCGGGAAGAAGTTAACGCCTCTATTCCACGTTGCCTATTATAGATATATACTAACATCGGCCCCTTTTAGTGAGACCGAAATTATTGGCATTTGCCCTTTGTTCTCACATTTAGTTTGGTATTCCGCCTCCGGTAATGTACGATCCTCCTTATCAGTTGCACTGTGCTTGCTCTAAAGGGATTTACTAATTTATAGCCTATAGTTTTATGGTCGGCTTCCGTCAGTGGTTTGAGGTTAAGCCAACACCCTGGAATGAGGCAAAGCCCTACTGGTTCGACCTAGCTAAGCCACCCCAAAGGGTCAACTGGTCTGAATGGATCAACAACCCTGATACTTCTTATTAGAAGTTTTAGATAGCCGATTTTCTTTGTTTATGAGGCTTTGCTGCTTAAGAGACAATCTAATAAATTCAAATCCTGAATTTGTGACCATCTGGACTTATAGTTATCTGAACTTATAAGGTGTTGAAATATGACAGAATTCAGGGTGTAAAGCAAGGTATGGTAGGATCAATGAATATGCATAACTCACTGACAGAAATCTGACTATACAACGTTCGGTATAAATGAGGGCAGCAGCAATACTATCAACGAACTAACTATCACAGTATAGGTGCATATATATCTTGGAAGAAGGGACGCTAGAAAAGCGCAGATAAGTCTCACTGCCAGCAACTATAACATAAAGCTCCCCTTTCCCCCAACTGGTTCAGGATTACTTGAAGTTCTTATCCGAAGTTATGCAGGTCTAGACCGGGAAGTGATGCAATGTTGATCTACCATATCCCGTGAATGACGCAGATTCCCATATAACAATGTAATCCTAGTTCTCATTATTTTCTTCATCACTATCGAAGACTTCCTCGTCGTCGTCATCTTCCTCCTCACCCCCCTCTTGGTAATCCTCATCGTCTTCCTCGTCCTCGTCCTCTCCCATCGCAGCATCTAGGTCCAAAACCTCGTACCGCATAGCATCCCCATACAAAACACAAATAGCGCGCCGTCCCTTCCGTCCATTGACATCAACATGGATAGGCCGTGCCTTAGGGCCATGTAGAGCGAAGATATGTATAAGAACACTCGTGTGGTGGAATTCAGGCGAGAGATCTAGTGTCGTGGGCGGGGTAGTAGGTTTTGGAACGGATGGCGTGCTGTCACATTCAATGTAGCCAAGGACTACAGGTAATGGGTGGCTTGCTTCGCTTTGGGGTTGTGCTGAGTCGGGTTGGAAGGGGAAGTTGAGGAGATGGGAGGATCCTTCTGTTCGATAGATTGTTAGATTGCATACAGAATTTAGAGGAGGAATATGAAGTCGATGTGTGAGTGACTTACTGCTATCGCGCCAGAGAATCATGAGTGTGTCGTCGTTGACGAATTGGAGTTGGCGGACTTCGCCGTTTTGGAGGTCGAGGGTTGCGAGGGAGGTACTTCTTGTTGAGCTGACGCCACCGACTGAGTCAAGGACGATGCGGTAGATATAGACTATTTGCGTGAGTATAAGAAACTGGATTTGATGATTGATTGTATGACGAACCTTGATGTTTTGATGTGACTGATCGGGTAGCGACATATACTGAGCAAGGCTGGCCTTCTATAGCATCCTGTAGCGAAAGTTAGCTTAGAACGATACAAAAGTCACCAGTCTTAAACTACCTCGTAACAGAAAGTCAGATCGGTAACCTCTTGGTCGCAATCAGAGTGAAGCGTCAAAGGCGAGCGATAGAGAATTCCTCTGCGCTGAGTCAAGGCAATCTCTTCAAAGACCTTCTCAAACTGGATCCCCAGACGCTTCGTCAAGTCATTGAGCTTAGGCGTCTCTATCGATGTACCATCGCCACCCCTGTCCCGGGACTCGCGTTGCTGTTGAAGAAGTGACTTGAAAGTATCGAAGAACGAGCGGTCGTGGCCATCTGGAAGCCACTTATCAGCGGGAGGTGCAGGAGGCTGAACAACTCCGATCATAGGAAGTTGGCGGATGAAGTTCCGTAGAGCACTCTTGGTCAATGCGCCTTTGATATACTTCACAGTTGGAGGGACATCGAACAAGTCTCTTTTCTCCAGCAGTTCTTCCCGTGTCTGCGACAAGGGCTCGCTATTAAGAACCTGAATCTCGTACCGAAGCCATCTAGAGAAAGCGGTAAATTGTCCCATTTCCTCGTTGGCATGCGTGAGAACAGAGTGTGCAAGAAGATGGAGACAATCAAGTGTCTCCACGATGGCATTAAGCTTGGTCGTGTCCAGCCCAAGGACATCACTTAGCTTGTGGAATTTAGACAATCCAACCAATCGACTGAGAAGTACTTGACTGCGCTCCAAGGCTGGGAGGAGACATTCGTGTGTCAGTCGCCGGATATTCTCGTAGCCGCCCAAGACAGCTTTATCCCATCTCTTGTGGCCCTATGCCGTCCATTAGCACACCATCTCCCAAATGGCAAGGCTCACTTACTCTTTCTCCAACAATATCCGTGAGGAATTCTTTCATGGGCTCGAAGCAATGACCAGTGACCACCAGGTGATAGATAGCAGTGATAAAATCACACTGGCATTTTTCCTTCAAGTCCTCATTGACACTACGCAAGAAGCGCGCAGGAAGCTCCTGGGCATTCTTCCACTCAAGCTCAATCTGCCGCTGCACCTGACCAATATAGCGGAGCAAATTCTGAAGCTGAGTAGTTTTCGACGCAAGAAGAGACAGATATCTCCCAGACTTCGTAATAAAGCGAAGGTCCATCGTGACAAGCTCAAGCGGACCACGAGTGTCTCCCTTGACCGGCGATGTCAGTAGAGCATGTGTAGAGCTCAACGGGTGCGAAGCATGCCGCAAGATACGGCACGAGTCGGGGATACCGGGAGAGCTTCCCACAGGGAAAGAGCCAATCTCAAAGCAATCAAAAATACGCAGGTGAACAGTACCATCGCTAAACCCGACGGAGAGCACATCGACCGAGTCATTGGTATCTTTCGATGAATGGAAGATGGCGTCTAGGGACGCGCGCGAGCTGAAAACGTCATCCTCGCCTCCTGTTGCAGGCAGAGTGCTCAGCTTCGGCAGCGAGCTCTCAATGTCCAGCAAGGCAAGCTCTCTTGGCAAGTCTGCTTTGAGCATGATGGCTGCCTTGGAGGGATACACTCCCGGGGCTAAAAGGTCGTCGATGGAGACCTGGCCCGCGGATTCATGCAAGTGCCGCTGTGCGGCTTTGCTATCGGTGAAATTGACACCCCACCCAACGCAGGTCGCCTTGGGTGACGGGTTCTCAGTGGGATTGGGTTGTTCCTCTTTCTGCTGATAGGTCTGATAGTTGTGCACCGTCTTCCCGGTGTACGAACTGATGATGCGGAGCGAGCCATCTCCACACGCGACAGCGAGAAGGCGACCTGGTGTAGCATTAGTAAATGAGCGCGCGTGAAATAAACAGCAAGACGGGTAAGATCCGATTATAGGAAAAGAGATATAGCAAAGCTCAGCGACAAGGAAATTCAAACTTACCATTCCCTTTCCACGCCATCCCTCTAATCTCGCCGTCCTCTTCATCCTCGCCTAGGTACGGATCTCCACCAAAAGAACCCCCGAACACTCGCTGGCCATTGAGTCGGAATACGCGCAGTTCCTCGTCCTCGGTCGCCAGCGCTATCAGGTCCATCGTGGGACAGTACGCCATGGCCTGCGGCTTGCATTTTGCTGGTAGGGACTTCTCCCCGACGGGGGTCAGTTGGGGGCCATCGACTGTCATTCTGGGTATTTCTTCAAGATAAATTGCCCATTCAGCCCATTATTATTCTTGAGAACATCAAAGGTTCAAGAATTGAGGTGGCGCTGTTTCTTTTTGGCTGAAGCTGTTGATCGCGGGTGGTGGATACAGAGGGATTCTTGGCGCGTGTGTTTGGTGTTTCGTCCGATCTGTTGATATGGATTCACCAACGTCACTACGGAGTTTACATCAATTTGACTCTACTCTCTACTAGGTCGGTTAAATTTACACATTGGAGACTTGTTTTTCTTTCTGATGTATTTCTTTTGATATAATGTCTCCTCTATTGAGAGCTAAATGATATATGTACGAATTACATAAACTCCATACCGACGACCAGCGCCAGTAATATGATGTAAGAACATGAGAAAATCCCTGAGGTAGTCTCATCAAAACGGCACCCCATCCATGTCAGCCTGGATCAGATTCTTCAGATAACTGAGCTCATCCATCAACTCCTGCATAGTAGCATTACCCTGGAACGAAGCATTGCTACGACGGGACCGAATCCGCTCGAGGGAAGTTTCGCTCATTTTCGACTCTGCTTTCGGCTCTGTGAAAGAGCGATATTGCTCCATGTCAGAGTCTCTGGAAGCTTGGGAGAGCAGGATCGGGGAGCTGTCGGGGCTGCGCGACATCGCGAAGGCCTCCATTGATTCAAGGGCGCTAAATAGAGCAGCGTGGCGCTTGGGGTTGCTCTCCACTTCATCCATGTTCTCGATTCCCAACCCGGAAAAGTCGAGGCCAGGTGTGGACAGGGACACGGTGAGTTGAGGGAGACCGACGCTCCAGGGTGAATTCGGAGATGAGGGTTTGGAGTAGACAGTGAGGTGGGGGGTATTAGGGTCGGTATTGGTTGCGCCATCGCCAGACTGCGAGAGGTCTGGTGTTGTCCATCTTTCCGCCGAAGACTCGTCCTGGTGATGGTTAGATGAGGCCGATACCATCGATTCGCGTGGGTTGTAGTCGGTTTCAGTGTCGGTACTCCATCCGGAGAACCGACTGTATTCAGGTACAAAGCTAGAATGGGCGGAGTCGATTGTCGTTGCTGTCATGCTGGAGAAGTAACTGCGCGGGATCTCGTCATCCATCTCCCTATCTCTCTCGTCGATAGCGCGAACTGCTTCATCCATGACCGAAGATGGCGTATTTGGAAGTGTAGGGAGCCTCTTATCTTTGGTATACACGGCAGTTGGAGTAGGAAAGTCACCAGAGCAAGTGATATCCTTCAGGGCTTCCCTGATCGCACGAGTTTCGTCGGATTCGACGGTGTTTCCGTTTGTTACGCTGCGAGAATGACTGGTTTGGGGGGGATCCGGACGCGTCTGCACTGTGAGAAGACGGCTCGGTGCCGTTTCCCCAGCGGGTGCCTTCATCGCGCGACGACTTTGGATGGTGGACAGACCAAATTTGTCAGGAGGGCTCGAAGATGGAATCGCAACTCCGGTGTTAACCTTGATTCCAGGGACATTGCGGCGATCCTCAACAGCCTCTTTCTGCCGCTGTGCTAGCTTAGAAGCATTCGCATGTTGCACTGACTCGAACCTTCTATCCACCTCAGCGGGTTGCCTTAAAGCAGCTAGAATGGCTCGTGCTCTCGGAGGAGACATAGAACGTGAATCTTTCTTATGGCCCTTCCGAGGAGCACCGTGCGGCTGAGATGCACTCCGGTGGATTCCAGCCATCGGAGATCTACTCGCAGACCGTGCGGGGCTCGGTTCGCGGCATACTGGTGCAGATGTCTGAAGCCGTACAGACTGAGGCTGGGGCGGCGGCTTCCGCGGATTCATGAACTTGTCTTCGGGATTCATGGTCCGAAGATGTTCGGATTTTTGCGAGCTGGCACTCACCGAGCGTCCATGTGAGCGGCTGTCAGGTAAAATGATAGGGACATTTAGCACATTCATTGGTTGCCCCGGAAGAAGCGGGCACATTGTGGTCGTAGGCTCTGCCTCGTTGTAATACTCTATGTCATTATCGAGTAGATACTGTTTTCCTCGTTAGCTCTTTCATCTCATATGCTTGAATTGAGCCTCACATAATACCAGTAAGTACCACCCATCTTCAGACCCCCTGTTCGCCATTGGGTCTTGTCTGGCCCATCACCTATCATATCCGTAAAGGTATGGCATCCTCTCCAGTTTCCGGGACCGACGCGCACATCTCTTTCCATCGCATATTGTTTAGAGAAATTATCCCATGATCCGAGCAGCTTGACCGACCGGACCTCTGGTCTGGTAATACTGAATTGCGGTCAGCGCATGGAGATATCAATTGCACTGGGCGCACTCACAGTAAAAAAGTCATGAGGGTAGTCGAGATCATCGCAAGGTAAGACAATAAGAAAAAGAGCAAAAGAGAGATCGCTGAGCAAGGCAGGTAATAGCACAAATGAACAGAACAAATCAGAGAAAGAAAATGCACAACAATGCAAAATCAGAAACCAAAATGCTAAAGACAGAATCCCAGAATACAAATGCAAAGCAACAAGAAGAACGGTCTATAGACCCTTGGACCTCAGCTGAAAGTCCGAGCTTATAAACAAAACAAGCCCCGGAGCTCACAGACACAAAGCCAACTCGACAAAGGCGGTTCTATAATTACAGCCGGTGGAAGCACGCTGTGCCTGTTTCAAGTTCAAGTGACAGGTCTAAGAATAAACGATTTGTTTCAGGTATGTTCGGGGCAACGCCGCAGAACAACATGCCATGGCCTGGACACACAGGGCTCAAACCAAACAATCAAATAGGCTGATTGCTTCAGGAACCGCGAGGGTGCAATTTCCCCGACGCTGTGCAGGGCGACAAGGTTGACCAATGGGGGAGCAGAAGGAGGACGCGCCGACCACTCGGGTTGGTGATGTTCCTGCGTAAGGAGTCCGGCGCTAAGAGGGCTCTTGGCGCTGCAGGGATGTTGAAACAAGGGAGGAAAATGAGGTTAAAACGGTTGAAATGATTGGAATGTAGAAATGATAGAACAAAGCCTTGAAGGCTGAAAATGAGAGAAATAGAGAGAAGGGGGTTAGGAGACGAATTCGAGGTTTTTAGGAGATCGGCGCGCGGAGAGACTTGACGATCATAAAATTCGGCCGTGATGGGGAGTGGATCTGGAAGTGTTCAATGATGCGTGCTGATCTGAGAAATTATAAGATTGTTATAAGAAGAAGAAGAAAGAAAGAAATGTGATCTCAGATTCTCGGACTCTCGGATTCTCAGATGGTGTGGCTTGCGATCTTTCCGATCCAGCCCCGTCATTGTAGTTCGTCGATCTTTATGCAAGGTACCACTTTGCACAATTAGATTAAATAAAGCAATAGAGCAATTATATCGGTTGGATCAATTAGGCTGACCAGATTGACTAGATCAACAGATCAGTTGCTACCGAGTGCATGGATTGTACAAAATCGCAAAGCTGCAAGCTCAGCTCTAATATACCGAAGTAAAGCCTGCAGTATCTCTCATTGGTCATGGAGAATAAATTAAATTCAGCTAACAAACTTATATCCGAGAATTCTCCACCCCCAGCGCGTCCTCGTGCAGATGATATGTCACTTTTGCACTTGCAGTCAAAATATGCGATTGGATGGGAAATATATAAATCAGAAACCAACCACCTAACACTCCAAATCTCGATCCAACTTCTTATGAACAGCCCCAAGCACAGCCTTCAAAATCCCATACCCTTCCAACCGCTCCCCAGCCCGATTTCGCCAAGAAACAGTATCGACAATATCTCTGAGATGCAAATCATGACACCGGCTGCCAAGGTCCTTATCCAAAACATCCAAATACTGCCGAGCCATCTCGTCATTCCCAATCTGGAAGAATTGAATCCCAACCTGCCACGGAATAGCACGACAAGCAGGGCCATCCAGAGTCTGAGCAGTCTTGATAATGATACTCTCGGCATCATCCGTAAACACCCCGTCGGTGATCGTGATGATATTGATCGGCTTAACCGACTCGACCGGCTCCAGCTCGATTGACCTGGCCAAAACTCCCGATACGTGCTTCTGCGCTTGTCTCTCTGTCTCCTTTGCTTCCAGCAGCTTCGTGTATGGGTCCAGGATATCAAATAGTCGAGCCCCGACTCCGGTTCCACCAGAGGGTATGACAGAGGCGAAGATCTCGCTTACTAGTTGCGCGGTTTTGATGTTGTGGTATCCGCTGGCATCGAGTGTTGGACGTCTGGGGCCCGGGCTGTAGTTGTAGTCGAAATTGGCCCCGGGAATATGGCCGCTGGGGCTGCGCCTGTAGCCCGAGCCGGAGTTGTAGGGATAACCGTAGCCGTAGTTGGACCTGTTGGGGTTGGGCTTTGGGCGGTGGTTGATGAAGTAGATGTCGATTCCCTCGCTGTCATATTTCGTGCAGATTGGCGCGATCGCGGCGATGGCTTCTTTGGCTTCGTTCCAAAGCTCACCTCTCATGCTTGAACTGTCGTCTACCAGAAAAATGGTATGGAATTGGCCGAGGAAGGCGTACTGGGAATCAGATTCTGGTTCGGAGGGGGCGCTGATTCTGATTGTTGGAATTTCTTCTTGATACGGTGGTGGACGGTCTGACGATTGGGCATTTGATGTATTAGGGCTACGGCCTCGGGACCATGATGGACGATGCGTCGGTGTGGTCACTGTGGTCCCTGTAATGGTTGTCCCTGCCTTGCGCTCTTTCCGATACCTTGAGAACGGGTTCCATACACCCATGGCTGAAGATTGTATGTTGAAAATGAAGTGTAGGTGAGGAATATATGTCAAATAGACTTGTCTTAGAGACTGCTCAGATATCCTGAAATGGTATGCCCTAGAAGGATCTGACCCGGGAAACAACTTCTTTATATCTACTGTCTGCCATCAGGGGCTTAGCTGTGAAACCCAATATACAAAGAGTAGTATAGGGTAGAGGCATAGACCAAGGCACACTTCTAACCAACCACGGATTTACGCCCGACGCATGATCAACACACGGACATTAACACATGAGATTCAATCTAGTGGCCGCCCTAAGTGTATCAAAGATCGAAAAGGCCATCGCCATCATTAATTGCGAGGCAGATTTGACTCACTGCAGCCCTATTTGTAATTAACAGGGATGTTGAGAGACGCTCATTCGTAGGGCCGGGCAACCGCAGGGTAAGGTAAAATTATCGGGCTCCAGCGTCACTTTTTAACCAATCATATAGAGTGTATGAAGAGGTTTAAAGTGCACAGACAGTCCGGAAGCGTGCTTTGGGACTGATGGCGGAGCAAACACAGCCCCGCATACGGCAATTCTAATGCAGGAGGCGCAGCATAGGATGAACGTGAACGGAAGACCACTTGCTCTACTTTTTCTGGGATCTTGTTGGACGCTATGATGGACTATAACAGAGGATCTAAGATTTCCTTTGATTGTTTGTTAGAGACAACTCGTGAGTCATAATGAGAACCGAAACATGAGGCGCTAATCCCAAACCCTAGGCTGTAACACAAAAGAAACGGACAAATTGTCGGCATAATAAACAAGAATGAAAAAAGAAAGACAACTATATCAGTCGCTATATACCCCGAGGCAAGTATTTCCACTAGGCGTAACTAGATCTCGCCTCGTCAGATCCTGATCTGAAGAGTGAGAGTCTTCTTCCTCGGTCACGGAATGTAAAACCCCAGGATCATCAGCCACAATATCTGCCACTGCCAGCGCCTGGTCGATACCCATCGTGTTTCCAATCATTTGAAGACACTTGACTACCCAACGGCGCAGCCTGTGTTGGGGGTTCTCAACAACCCCAGCCACAAATAGATGCCAGAGGAGCACAAGGCCCGCAACGTAGTGTTCAGGCGGCGGGAGACTAGACACCCTATCTACCTGGTGACCGATGAAGTGAAAAGGAACACTGCGACAGATATCCACGGCTAACCGCCGGATCGTCGATCGAAGTGTCCTGCATTGGATACGCAACTCTTCGGACAACAAAGTCATAGAGGAACTGTCGGATAATCGCCGGACACGGGAGAGAATAATTTCGCTGACGATGATTCGGGCGCTGCGGTATTGGTTCCACGAATGGCAGACCCAGGCGGAGGAGTACACGTGGTATTGATCGTCGTATGGAGTTATGCCTCGGAGTCGCTTTTGGATGGAAAAGTCGAGGGGGGGGATTACATGGGTGGTATAGTTGAATTCGGGGGGAAGAGCTGCCAGCCAGGCAATTAAACTGGCTTCGATAGCCGACGCTGCTGATATGATCTCCTGCTCGTTGTACATATTGGCGCAGATGTCTGCGCGAAGGTTCGATAGTATTCCAATTATCGTGAGTAGCCGATTGCCGTGAACTTGTTCTGGCTGAAGAATCATCGCGATTTTCGTTTGTTCTATTAGTGACTCAGGCACGCGCACGTCTCTTTGTAGGCAACTGATGGTCTGTTGAGGGGTTAGCTTGAGATCGAAGGAGTGATCGAAGGAGTGATCGATAGCACTCACAATCTGATACCGAAGGTATAAGAACAAGCGGAGATCGGTGTCAGTCTTAAGTTTATCAGCGCCGCGTAGATCTAGCAGGGCCATTGCTCCACTGATATGGTTGGTCCAACTCTCAATTTCATTCGGGGCTCTTGACGAAATCACCTAGAAACAGGGAGTCAACAAAAACCATCCGAGGGGGTGAAAAATTCCGTACTTCATATTTGGCAAGCAGCATGACAGCGCCTAATGTTTGATTTGATTTCGCCTCCTCCATTTCGGTTAGAGCGGCATTAAGCAATCTCAAAGCGGATCCATACTCCCGGTGGGCTACATCTCTAAGCGATGGTAGCCCTCTTACCCGGGAGAGCATAGCCATGGCAGTAGCAACTACGCTTGCCTTCATAGCTCTCTGACTCGGAGTGCCTCCGCTCTGTACCAAAGAGTCAGAGATCATCTCAGTAGTCAAGAAACTGCCGGGGATAGCAGTTGATCGCAGGAAAAAGCAGATTGCTTCATTTTTGGTGGTTTCGAACTCCTGTGACGGCTGGACCTCCAATGGGCGATTCCCGAGCTGGCGCGCAAGATTGATATGCTGTGGATCAGAGTGGAAGTCCAAGACCTGCCCCACTGGCGCGGTACTAAGCCCAGACCGTACAGGATTCCTTTCTGGGATTGCACTGCGACGCGATCGTTCCGCTTGTTTCCTATGTGTCGAGGCCGCAACCGCTTTTCGGATTACTGATTTGCTCTCGTCGCGGAACATTAGGGCCTGTTGGTCCCGATATCCGGAGCAGTCCCGCTTGGCCCTGGTGCATTGCGAACAGGCCGGTTGGGCTTGGTCGCACCGAATCTTCCTGGACCTGCACTCGCCGCATCCTTTGCTTGGTTTACCACAGTATACCATGATCTGTACTTGACAAAGGGTTGTACATTGTCACTGGTAAAAAAAAGAGCCTAGGAAGTCATTAAGAGACGTTGGTCAGGCCCCTGTAGGCTGTGTCTGGACCGCGCTTGACCGGTTCGGGTATGCTGTGCGACAAAATTTCAGCCTTACGTTTGTTACATAAATTACGGCTCGCCACCCATACGTGAGCGACCACCTAATTGTAAGGTGTTTTATCGGTCCTTACATTTTTGTTACAAAAATTACATCCTCTCGCAAGCGAGTGGGCTACAACGGACGTACATTTTACTAGGCAGGCCATACAAAAGGTACATGCATAGATTCTAGTTTTTAGTACTACATTTTTCATCTAAGCCTTAATATACCAAATAATATATATATTATATAGCTCTTACTGTATGACGGAATATATTATAGAGACTGTCTTTCATTCCATTCTATAGATTGTGACTGTTGTCAAGGGAGGAGCGGTACCCAATTAGGAAGGCGCACCTGATTTTCAGGTGTGGCGGGGTACAAGCATCAATTCCTAAACTATATTGTAGTGGAGTAAGAGCGATGGATATAGCATATGTACTCATTTGATCTAGATGGTTCTATCAAGATCTCTAGCGAATAGTATTGATTGTCTTTCTGTTACTCTCCGTCCTCTGATTTTCACCAAGTCCGAAAAATAAAACAAAAGGCTTTAGCGTCAATTTATCTTTTATTACATTAAACATCAAAAGCTCAAGACGCGTCAATGGGGGCTTGGGACTTGCAGATATTACCCTGCTCGCTTCGTTGGAGACTCAATTCCAGTATCGGCCTGATTCACCCGCTTGCGATTTCCCCTGAAGAGTACGCTCGAGTCCGGATCCTGCTGCAGGAATCCACCTGCACCGGTTCCATCATCATGCCATTCGCTAAATTCCCACTGGATCGAAGTTGATTGATCGTCACTGACTCCCATACCACGCCGAGTACGCATCACACGGCCCAGGCGGCTCCCTTCTACCATCTCTTCGAACCAAGGAATTCCTCCAGTTATACCGTGCTGTAGACTAGTTGAGATGTCCGAAGAATCAGTAGTCGATGGAACAATGACCGAGGATGAAGCGGTCTCCGAGGTTGGTGTCAGATCAGATGAGGTCGAGATACCAGCACGGGGAGCTTCCTCGTAAAAGTCGCGAGGAAGCAATCTTAGATCATCCAGTGCGTGCTGGTCGTCCACTAGAAGACTGCCGATCGCGACAGACATGAAGTTGGCTTCTTCGATGGGCTCCTCCGTCCAGAATGTCAGGGGTGTACCGCAGTAGCCACAGAAGACACGCTGAGTCCGGGGCGCATGGCGGGGCGAATGGATGCGGCGAATGGAAGAGTGCGATTCATCAGGGAAGAAGGACTGAGTGTGGGATTGGTACCAGCTGAGAGGTACTCGAAGCCACGCCGAGAGAGGTGTACCGTGAAATCGACCTAGGATGCGATATTAGCCGGGAGATCGGCAAGCTTGGCTTGGTTTACCCACGATTGTCTCGGCTGCTGTCAAAGTACACTTCGGCATGGTTTGTCACGTCGTCCGGAATATTGATTTGGTATTCATTTCGACCGCAAGAGCATGAGCCGCGGAGCGGTTCCAAGGCCATGGTGGTACAGGATTTCCGCGGCGTTGATAATTTCGCAATGTGGGCTAGGTAGATGGTTTAAGATTGGAGATGAGTGGCGGCAGTAGTCTCGCTAAGTAGAAATCCCGATGAGGGAATGATGATCTTTGGTAGTAAATTGGACCGGAAAGTTAAGGTGGTGTGAGGACAAAATTGACATGGGCGGGAGAAAAAGCAAGATGTGTTCAGTGGACCCATCTATGACGTTTAGAAGTTGCCAAGGCCCGTTCCCGGCCCTCCAGTTTACTCCGCATTGGCCCATGGCCTTATCGCTTCCTATCGCTTTCCCGTGTCTCTCATACTCCTTCACATTCTTCCACCGAGCGTTGTTTACCGATTACAATCACCTCCCTCATCGATGCCTTGACTAGACGGGGCCTCAGAGCTATAAGGACATCTATACATCCCGTCCAATCGATACTAAGAGCCCCGGACCGTGTATACAACCGGCGCATCTACCATACGCTTTCAGTTGCTCTCAAAAACCTCCAGTCATCAAACACACGATGAATCCAGACGATGACCATGATCGGTCGTCCTCAACGCCTAATGGGACATCCAAGCAGGGATCTGCCCAGGACAAGGACAAGCCTCGTCTTACCGATCAAGAAAAAAAGAGCAATCATATTGCCTCGGAGCAAAAACGACGTGCAGCCATTCGCGAAGGCTTTGATCGCCTCACAGAGCTGGTGCCTGGTCTGGAGGGCCAGGGTCGGAGTGAGAGCATCGTTTTGCAGAAGACCGTGGACTTCATCCACGTAAAGCTGCAAGAACGCCACGATCTCATCGCAGAGATCGAGAGCAAAGGCGGCCGCGTGGACGACTCTTTCCGCCCAACGTGATCCTATTCTCCTCGACATTTCATTGCGCTTTGGTTCGGTATCCAGCGGCCCCTCTTCCCCTCCGCTGGTCGATGGGGGTCCGGGGCTGCAGGCATGTGCCGAGGTCCGAGCTGTTTTTCTCAAATTTTGGACCATATGAACTTATACCCACGCTACGAATTTCATTTTCCTGTCTATCTACTCCAGCCCTGTATTACGAATGAGATCTTGGAAATGATCAGCAGGGCTTCCTCGTTGCCCGGCAGATTTGATCTTCCCATATGATTTGAAGCCAATCACGCATCCTCCACCGCATTCAATGCACTGAACGATTATCAACGCAGTGCCGCAACTTTTTACTTCTTTTCTTCCTACTGCCCTTGATCATTGTACATGGAAGCTTTTTTCTGGTTTGTTTCTGCTCCTGGTACCAGAATGTATATGGATGGTCATGGCTGTTGCTGCGAAGCAACTGGGGCGTTCTTCTTTCCCAACGGTTAACTGAAATCGAGTTCCTTTCAGCTCTGGCTGAGCACCCACAGCGACATCCTTACTTCAATTAAAGTCGGAATTATTTGACCGAGTCGTACTTCGGTCGCATCACGTGAACAGGTTACGGAGAATAATTGCAGTCATGCACTTCCTAGGTAGCCAACCAGATTATACAAAGGAGTATATCCTCGGAAAGTTAGACGAAATAATGAATTAATGCAGTGGTGACCAAGGTGATATACCGATATAGACTCTGCACAAAATTCGATAGTGAAGAACTTCGGCTTACCGCCTGATATCTGCCGAGCCCCTGCAGGGTGAAGCAAACGCAGCCTCTACACTCCACGCAAACCTGTAACATACAGGATCTCGTGGACAGTCGGGATCCCCAATTGAATATCCCTGCATATCCTTGCAAGGTCAATCAACCGCACACAAAGACCATTTGCCTCGACAAGCGAACGGAGAAAGCACCTGATTCCCCGCATCGCATCGCCCGCCACACCAACGACCAACCGCCCAAAATGACAGACTCCAAAGAAGCCCTCCTATCCCACATGGAAAACATCGACGCCCCCGAATCCGACCCACCACCCGCCTACGACAAACCCATCTCAAAAGCCAACCGTGCATCACTCCTCCTCCCACGCCCACCACCGCTCAACCTCCCCATCCTCAACAGCCTCCGCAGCAGGCGCGTAATCCTCGCCTCACAATCCCCCCGCCGCAAGCACATAATGTCCTTCCTGGGCCTCCCGAACATAGAAATCATCCCCTCCAACGCAGAGGAAGACCTACCCAAAAGCCTAGGCCCGCTCGAGTACGTGCTAGCAACAGCGACGAAAAAAGCCGAAGCAGTCTACGCGCAAGAAATCAACAACGAGGCCAAGGGCGAGCCAGCCCTGATCTTGGCCGCTGACACTGTCGTCGTCGACCCGTCTACAGGCACCATCCTGGAAAAGCCCCGCTCCGAAGCACACCACGTGGCCATGCTGCGCTCGCTGCGTGACGTCGGAAACCATAAGGTCTACACGGCGCTTGTGGCGATGGCGCCGTTGGCTAGTGCGCGAGACCCGGGGTATGCGGTTGAGAGTATGGTTGAGGAGACGTTGGTGCAGTTTGATGGCGATGTTACGGATGAGTTGATTTTAGCTTATGTGCGCACGCGCGAGGGCGCGGATAAGGCTGGTGGTTATGGGTTGCAGGGGCTTGGGTCGATTCTTATTGAGAAGATTGAGGGCAGTGCTGATAATGTTATTGGGTTGCCGCTCAAGGCGACGCTCAAGATTATTGAGACTGTTATGGAGAAGGCGGATGATGAGGATGCCTTTTCTGGGGATGATGGGGAGATCGAGGATGAATGAGGGGTGTTTTGTATGAGTTTAGATCCTCTTGTTTGCTGTTAGCCTTGTCTACTTGTGTCTTTACATTATCATTCTGATAGAATTTAAAAGGATAAAAGGATTAGAACTTATATTAGAAAGCAATCCAAACGTTGGTAGAAGCACTGTACTCTATTGAATACTACTGACCATTTAAAGTGTACAAAGAACCTGGTTGCATATCTACACTACGTACTATACAGAAAACAAAAAGCACCAAGAATGTCTTGTACAGGGGTTATATTCCATTTGATTTTCTATAGCTCACAACCCTGAGCAGCAGGAATCCGGCACTGATCATTAGATTCGGGCTCAGAGACAAAAGAAAAACAATCAACGACATACACAGAGGCGGGACGGAACGCCTGGATGGACCAGAACCAAATTGGTAAGCAGGAAATAAAAAGGAAATAAAAAGACAATATTTCTGAAACAAGGAACCGTAACAGCACTCTATGCCGTCCAGATGCGACGCAGAGCCTCGGTCACACCAACGTCGTTTGTCTCGAACTCGTACAGACCAACGGCGGTAGTGAGAGTGAACGCGCGCAGGAGCCAGTTGCAGGTGGCACGGGTCTTGGGCACACGGGAAGGAGGGAAGTAATCGACGATGGCAGCCCTGGTAGAGTTATGTTAGATTGCGATTTCCGGTTGCAGATGTGGGGTAAACCGAGGGGAATAGCGGAATAGCGCGGGGAGGTTCTTACTGGAATCCGATGTGCGAGTGTGCGACAAGCAGAGTGCACAGGACGGCATCCATGACCGGGTTGAGGGAGCCAGCGGCGAAGGGAGCGAAGGTGAGAGGGACCAGGCCGACGCAGACCAGTCTGGTATAGATGTTAGCCGGTTTTTTCCTCCGAGCTTGCCGGGGTTACCGGAAGGGGTTGCAGAGGTCGACATTGTAGTGCGCAAAAGGGAGCACAAACCTCTCAAAATCCCAGTGATAGCTGCCCTCGGAAGGGTGGGGTGTGGGAATGGGAGCGGCGTCATTCACTATTGGAATAGGTTAATATCGAAGACTTCGGGAAATACGGTGTTGCGATTTGATGGGCATTAATTGAGCGCTGGGAGCAATGAAGACTGCATATCTCCACACATTGCAGGCATTTCTACTCAATGCCATCGAAAAGAGAGGGAAGACTCGGTAGGAAAGGCGCGGAAATCACATACCAGTTCCGTCAATGGTCTCTGTGTCGCAAAAATCAAATTAGTAACTGCTCATAAACGAAATTCAATAGATCTCTCCACTGGCAATGCCTCAATGAGCATTACGGCAGGGCCTCTACTTACGAGGCAACGGGGGCAGGATCTGCTTCTTAGCGGAGGCATGGAAAGCGACGACCTGCGAAACGCCGACATTCTTCTGGAGGAAGGGTGCCCGAGGGGCAAGAGTCTGTCGCAGCAGAGTTGAGCGCGCAAATGAAGCCATTGTGAGTGGAGAGTATGATGTGAAGAAGCAGAAACGCTGTTCGAACACAAGCGGATGAAGTTGGAGGTCTCGGGAATCCGAGTCAATATGTCATCCTTTTACGGGCCATTTGATTGGTCGATGGCTATCCGCCCAGCCGAAATTGGCCGAGACTCTATGAGAAACCTCCATTTAGCCCTGCGGGTATCTTCTTCGTGGCTCCGGAGTATATCTGTAGTCTTTATGAAGTTGTTCGTTGCAAATTGATATTTATCTTACGGTATGTTCATGTTCTTTTTGTATAACGTTTGTTCGATTTGACTATTTTCAGAGGTATCTATATTGTCCCTACTGAACAGTCCTAACCGAGGTATTCAATACCTCCTAGCTAATGTTTCAACAAAAATATATGCACCAGGCATCTCGCTATTTCATCAATCTCATAAAACACTTAAAACTTCAGGACAGCCTTGCCCAAGTTCTTGCCGTAGAAGATGCCAATCAGGCCCTCGGCAGCGTTGTCAATGCCTACGGTCTCATGGATGAGCACCTTCAACGAGCCATCCTTGATCCACTTCTGCACATTCTCCTGGTGCTCCTTGGTGTAAGCATCACCCATGCCCTTATCACCGACAATGAAGCCGCGCATAGTAATACGCTTGACGAGGACATTGTGGATGTTCTTGATGGGGTACGGGGCAGAGTTGTACTGGGAGATCAGACCGCAAACGACGATACGGCCGAAGTTGTTCATAGCATCGAGGGCAGCCTCGAGGTGCTCTCCACCGACGTTCTCGTAGTAGATGTCGATGCCCTCAGGAGCGAGACGAGCAAGGGCATCAGCGGGCTTCTCGGTCTTGTAGTTGAAGCCACCATCGAAGCCAAGAGTCTTGGTGATGTACTCGAGCTTCTCGTCCGAGCCGACGGATCCAATGACACGGAGACCCTCGCGCTTAGCGAGCTGGCCGACCAACTGGCCGACGGCTCCGCTGGCAGCGGAGACGAAGATGGTCTCGCCCTTCTTGGGCTTGCCGATCTCGTACAGAGACGAGTATGCGGTCAGACCGGGCATACCAAGGGCACCGAGGAAGACACGGATGTCCTCGATGCCGAGGGGGTTGTCCAGCTTTTGGATGCGGACGAGCTCGGGCTCGCTGAGGGCAACGTACTCCTGGATAGGAACGTGGCCAATGACCACATCACCTTCCTTGTAGCTGGCGTTGTTGGAGCGCACGATCTTGCCGATGCTGCGGCTATCAATGGGCTTGTCGAGGGCAAAGGCGGGGGCGTACGACTTGGCCTCAGCGGCGCGCATGCGGCCACGCATGTAGGGGTCGAAGCTGGTGTAGAGAGACTGCACGACGACACCGTTGTCGGGAGTGGCAACGCTAGCATCATAGTCGGCGCTCTCGATTACTAGGTCCTGCCCAGCAACGGGATATCCCTGAGGAATCTTCTTGAACACGAGAGCTTTGTTGGTAGACATGGTGTATATGTGTAGTAGGAAAGATAAATATGGGAAGTAGAAATCCCCCGAAGTATGGAGGGAGCTCTTTATATGATGAGTGAGCTGTTCAACAAAGCGGGGCTGTACCGATCAGATTTGAAATACCAATCCGTTTTGCTTTTCAGATTATAAACCAGATGGATCACGGAGAAGCTTCTCGAGATGGTGATGCTCCAGGGAATATACTCCACTTTCTACAGATTATGGTTTGATGTGCATAATTCCCCTACCCATGCCCCTAACGTACGTCCAACGAGTGTACGATGAACACATAACTGTGGCAACGGAACCAGTTTTTTCTTAAAACAGTGGGGAACGGATGAATCCAAGACACCTCAGGCCGACGGAGACAGCCATTTTAGGTAGGAAAACCGTGACCCTCGGCATCTCAACCAAATGGGCTAATTGTTGATTAATACACAAGCCGAATACACGATTGTTAAGCAACGGACCAGTTGGCCATTTTGGGATAAAGCGGGTTATGGAGGACGTACGTTGTACGTTGCACGGAGTGTATTTCGGACCTACATACGGAGTGCTATATGAAGTACTATATGAAGTATACATCAATCTTTCTTGTTCTGCTATAAAAACATTCACATTCACATTCGCATTCTTGGATTGGAAAATTATGCATTAATTACATCAGTATGTAGTCATTGCCGGAAATATGCACCAGCATTATAAACTGAAAATTCGCATCATTGAATACGCCTAATCATGGGGATAACCTAAGCCTTGCCAGTGAGTACGCTGTCGGCCTTTTCAATAAAGTAGTGCTTGCCCTTGATCATCTTGACCATGAAGCCGAAAGGTACAAATCCGAAAATTTGTCCCGTACCACCAGTTTCACCAATAGGCACGACCATCATAATGCTATCGCCCTGGTCGAAGGTCTTGATGGCAGTACCACCTACAATGGCCGCTTTGAGGTTGGCCGCCGCCACATGCGCTTGCTCGATAGCTTTGAAACTGAGGCGCATCGAGAAGTTGGTGATATCACCGGCAGCAAAGATGGGCAGGGTTGACCCGTCGGTCGACTGAACACGCATCTCGTTGTTCACTTTCATCCAACCGTCCTTGTCCAAGAACTGAGTAGGAATAAAACTGTTGTTCGGGGTCGCACCGGTAGTGGGGATATAGAGGTCAGCCGAAAGCTTGTCTCCACCTTCCAGTGAGACAGTCCAGTTGGAGCTATCGTCGGCCGGAGTCTCGACCCCAATGACTCGCTTCGAGGTCACGACCTTGACCTTCTTGTGCTCTAGCTGCTTCCGTGCAGCCGAGCTGGCGGATGACTTGAGCATTGGGAGCACGCGATCTGTCGCGGAGACAATCGTGATGGAAACCTTGTTGGTATTGCCGCTTTGTTCCACTGCGTCGGCAAGCTCACCAGCCAGCTCAACACCGATAGGACCCGCACCTCCAATCACGATCTCCTTCGCCCCTGCAATGATTTCCTGTGCCGACTCGATCAGCTGCTCCATATCATCGCGATTCGACTGCTTGAATGGTATGGATGTGCCGGTGAGTGAGCCGGTAGTGGCAGATGTAGTGCTGCCCGACGCGATCACGAGATAATCATATGGTAGGGTCTTGGGCTCGCCCTCGTTCGGGGTTACGGAGACTGACTTGGCGGTGGTGTCGATAGCCGTCGCAACTCCTGGAAGAAACTCGAACGCGTCCGGCCGGTAACTTGCAAAAGCTTCCTTAATTGGCAGCAAGTACTGCTCGGGGCGGAAGGCCTTGGGTTTGGCGACGATGCGTGGGGCAGCAATATTCCAGAAGAAGCTGGTTGAGGGGTTGATCAGCACAACCTTTGCATCAGGTACATCACGAAGCACAGAATGAGCAATATGGAGGCCTGCGAATGAGCCTCCAACAATAACTACATCAATAGGGGCCATGATATAGAGTCAGTGAAGTGGAGAAGAGTGAGTTTCCTGTTTTGTTTCGGGAGAAGGGAGGGTCTTATGTGACAGATGAGATCTGCTCTCCGCGCGTATGCAAGGTTAGCAAGTAAGCCTGAGATACGTATATACTTCGTTGGCATCTCTCTAGCGCTCGATTCAGAGAGAAAAGTATTGGTCAGCGAATTTTGCATTTCTAATTTCTACCTAATGCTGACCCTCCCATTGTCGGCTATCGAAGATAATTTGCGCTTTCCAAGGTTTAGGCTGAACCTTAGATTTGATGTGTTTGTCTGATTTGCTGTGTTTGACATGTTTGTTTGTTTGACTATCAAAGCACATGACCTGACATATAACATCAAGGAAGAAGATGAGAAGAGACAGATAGCGCTGTACGATGTACATAGTAACTGAAATGAGCGGCAATTTGTATAAATATGACGGCCTATAAAAAAATAGCCAGATCTTCAGAGATGTTGATCCTCCAAGTTCCAAATATCCACTGCTATATGCACTCCTACCCAGGCACAACAACCAACATCATCTCCGAAAATATAGTGTTTACCCTCCGGGAAATGGGCACCAGATTGTGTCCAGTTTGGTCAAGTTGGGCTTCATTTTCTTCAGTGTAAATTCAATTTTCCTTTGAATAGGAAAAGTAACAGGCTATACTAACCTCTAATCAAGAGAAATGACTGACCATTCTTTCTAAGGCTACGTACTGCTACCTAACTAACTAGTTACCTCTCTTATATGCTGATAACATGAAGCCACCTCAATGTAGACAGTGAATGCTACGATCTATATTATTGTCTATTATATGCTTGTTTACTTGCTGTCATGATCCACATGGATCACTATCACTTTCTCGCTCGTTTGCTTGCTCGCTTACTATGTGCATTGTTTATTAGTTTGCATTAGATAGATTGTTTGCTAGACAGCTAAGCGAGATGTCCGACGTTTGCAAAGTTTGCAACGTCGTCAGCTATATTAACTGGCTGCTTCCCACTTTACAACTTACTTCTTCTTTCTCTCCATCTTAGTTGTTCTGAACTGAGTGCACTCTTCCTTTACAAGACCTGGCAGGTTACATATAGCATCTTTTGCTTTTTACCTACAGATATTATTGGTCAAGGCTCCCATTGTCTATGTATTCCTGGGCTGCTTATTTTCCAATAGAACAACCATTTCAATTTTCTTCCTCGTAAACTCTCACAACATATATGATATAATATATCTATGCTTGATCTATCTCTTGCCCTATGGCATTCAAATTGCTATATAAGTGGCCAGTCTTGCAGGTAATTACTATCCATTTGCACTTTTCGAATATGCTCTTAGCTGACATAAGGAAGGATCCAAGACATCTAACTAGTTATACAGCAGTAGCATCAAGCTTCGGGTCATTTGCTTCACAACCGCCCAACAAAACTACTTCCATTCAAGAACGGGTCCAATCCTTTCCCTCAACGATCAGAAACAATGGGTGTTTCTTGCTATCAAGTGGAAGGAGAGAGGCGTTCTCAACCCGGAGTGCGCTGCAAATGCGACATTCCGAATGTTCAATGAACAAATCTGCTCGATTGAGTCGCTTGTTATCGTTCCGAATGTAAGTTCAATTTGGCTTTTTGTCAAGTATCTCGACGAGCATACATACTAACTTGATCTTCCTCCAGGATCCTACAACAAAGCTTCCAAATTTCGAGAATGCTCTTCAGAGAATCTCGCTTTTCGTGAACTTCTTGCAATAGAATTTGGCAGGTTCGATGGTACCAAAGCTACCAACCTGATCGCGGATAATCGGCTTTTGATAGCCTGTTTTCCACGAAGAAATTGGAACACGACGAGCTGGGATTCTGTACCAAACCGAAACTCGAGTGTGATCTCCCACGGTTCGGTATTGGCTTATTTAAGGTCAAATCGACAAAAGGAATCACGAAAAAGAAAACATGGCGGTCAAACCGCGAAAGCCTGGGCTGTACGTGATTCTTTCTACAGTAAAGATCTGTTGTACTTCGTCATGAAGGGATCCAATATCGACTACGTTGTCGACGACTTCAGACTTTATATGGACAGTGCCCCTCGATTTCCATTCGATGTTTTTCACTATTGAGTGGCAACCAATATATATTACCAGGGGTTGGATGGAGTACATGAAGAAGAGGCTGATCTTCATGCACGAGACACCAAAACGCCAATATCACTATGACCCTCCAAAATGTGGGGTTTGGGAGAAGGTGTATCCCCATTACTCGGACGAACGGATTGTCAAGTTCATCATCTTCTGGCACCCGGTGGCCTTTTTCTCCAAAACAATGCATTATGCAGGCCACAGAATTGAATTACGAAGCTCGTGATAAAGAACTACTGACTGTGACGATCTGGGAAGGATCGTACTTGCCAAACGAGGCAGGAACGGTCACGTCTTCGTACTTGCCAAACGAGGAAGGAACGACTATGTCCTTATACCTTCCTAAGTGGTCGGACGGAATTAAGCGAAGACAAACGCAAGGGTATAAGAAGGGAAGAACGCGCACTCAGATAGTTTCTCTTTTTCCCTTTCTTCTTTGTACTTAGAATTTGGTCTGAATTGCACTCTTTTCTTCTGAATCGAATTGGCTCGTAACACTGGCGATCATCAGTGCGCTACGGGAATGGCGACCTAAATTAGAAGGACTCTCTCGCTCTCTCGCAAAGACCGTTTCGAGATGCTCCCGCTAGTCTCTTGAATACGACTACAACGCTTCAGATCCAGCGTGAACCTGCCACAATTCATCCAAAAGAAAATTCCCGAGACTCGGATGAACAGTATGAAGATACAAATATATTTAAGAATTCACAACTTGAGCTATACATCTACCAGCTTTACTCTTTTGAATCGAGTAGTGACTCTGTATATTCACTGCAAGTAGAACTGTAAGCCTAGGAACTATTCAAACCCCATCAATTACTAGTGGCAGGCATTTTCCCCCAAATCATTGCATGTTTATAACAACATATGGAAGAATTCTTAGTAGATCCGTCGTTGGGTTGGCAGATTTCGCATGTTTGCCATGTTTGCCGTGTTTGCCGCGTTTGCCACGATTGTTTATTTTCTCCTATCTCGGATGTTATCTTTCGATAAGGATCATGTGACCCCGTAATTATTTTTGCGCCTCTCCTTGTAATGCCCGAGTGCAATTTGCAACTTCATCATCCCCCCATCCAATTTTTTCCATCAGCATTCTATCATGATGCTTGGAACAGTTCGCCGATTTGGCGTTTCACACGCGTTGCGCGCTACTACACCTCGTTCAATCTCAGCGCGGTTGACTAGCCAGCTGCCGAAATGGCAAGCTCCTTCGTCTCTTGCATCTCTTGATGCAACCAGATCACTCCATTCCTCTTTCCCGAGGATGTCTGCGGCTACTGCAGAGGCTACTGCAGAGGAAATTGTTGAAGAGATCAAGACCTCCAAGCCTGCGTTAATCACAGAGTTTGCCGACCTGGCGGCGGAGAATTTCATTCACAGCAAGATTATCAAGAACATCATTCAACCTGACCGGATGAACCTCAAGACTATGACTGAGGTTCAGACTCTTACTATCAACGAGATTGTCAAGGGCGATGATATGTAAGTTTGATTGGCAGAATTACCTTGACACTGATTGGTCCGCTAACCTGCAAAATTTTTCAGCCTTGCTCAGGCCAAAACAGGAACCGGCAAGACGCTTGCTTTCCTTCTACCCACCCTCCAGAATATTTTGAATGACCCTGGTGTCGATCTCTCCAAGGTTGGCCGCCGCTCAGCCAGAACTGCTCCTTCAGAAATCCGTGCTCTTATCATCTCCCCTACCCGCGAACTCGCGGAACAGATCGCAGTTGAAGCCAGGAAGGTTGCGTTTGGCACTGGTCTTATTGTTCAGACCGCTGTTGGTGGCACGCAGAAACGTGCCGGTCTTGCCAAGATCCAACAGGAGGGATGCCACCTGCTCATCGGCACCCCGGGACGTCTCAAGGACATCCTCTCGGACCCCTGGACTGGTGTTTCTGCTCCCAAGCTGAACACTCTGATCCTCGATGAGGCAGATCGCCTTCTGGACCAGGGTTTCGCTCCTGACGTTGAAGAGATCCAGACACTGCTTCCCGACCCCACAAAGGTGGACCGCCAGACACTCATGTTCTCGGCCACCGTTCCCAGAGAAGTTATGCAGATGGTTCGTCAGACCCTGAAGCCAAGCTTTAAGCACGTCAACACCGTTAGTGAAGATGAAGTTCCCACCCACGTGAGGGTGCCCCAGAAGCTTGTATACACGCGCGGTCTTGAGAACAACCTGCCCGCCCTTCTTGAGCTCGCTCAGAATTGGCAAACGCGTCGGGATAACGGCGAGGACCTGAGACCTTTCAAGGCCATTGCCTACTTTAACTCTACTGCCGAGACCAAGGTTTCCGCTGATGTTTTTAACGCCATTGCTCGCTCTTCAGAGTTCCGCCAGTCTTCCATGGGCAGCATGAGAATGCTGGAGATCAACTCGCGTCTCACGCAGGCGTTCCGAACCCGCAGCGCAGAAAACTTCCGCAGGGCTCGCGAGGGTATCTTGTTCTCGTCGGACGTGACTGCCCGTGGTATGGATTTCCCGGATGTCACCCACGTCGTCCAGATTGGTGTTCCTCGCGACCGTGAGACCTACATTCACCGTCTCGGCCGCACAGCCCGTGCTGGCAAGGAGGGTGAAGGTTGGCTGTTCATGCACCGCGGCGAACAAGACGCTTACCGGAAGCGCCTGGGCCGTCTCCCATTGAAGGTGGACGATGCTTTGGAATCTGCCGATGCAGATCTCTCCCAGACCCACTCTAACGAGACACCAGTTGGCCAGATCATCAACAAGATTAACGAGGGTCTGGCCCAGTGTGACGGTGCTACCAAGGTCAAGTCCTACATGGGCCAACTTGGCACCACCACTGCGAACTTCAGCAGCAAGCAAGATGCCATTCAGGCACTCAACCAGATGTTCACCGTGGGGTACAACATGCAAACCCTCCCTGAGCTCAGCCCTAGATTGATGCAGCAAATGGGTCTCAACCGAAAGGACGGTGTAAGCGCGGGTGACGGCACCCGCCAGCGACGCGAGGGCGGATTCTCCCGCGGTGGTGACCGTGGTGGCCGTGGTGGCTTCTCCCGTGGTGGCGATCGTGGTGGTTTCTCTCGCGGCGGTGATCGTGGTGGTTTCTCTCGCGGCGGTGACCGCGGTGGTGACCGTGGCGACCGTGGCGAGCGCAACAACTTCTCCCGTGGTGATGGTGACCGCGGTGGTTTCCCTCGCGGCGGCGACCGTGGTGGCTTCTCTCGTGGAGGTGACCGTGGTGACCGCTCGTCGCGTCCTCCTCGCCGCTCGTTCAACGACGACGAGTTCCGGTTCTAAGTTTGAGTTGAATCAGAGATCAACTCTTGCCAGCAACGCTAGCAATTATAATTTGTCTGGGAATCTCATGGATAGCAAGGCTGCTGTCCGGTGAGACCAGTCAGCCAAAAGTGAAAAGATGAAGGATCCATTCTGGCATTGGGCGGCGTTCTCCAATATCTTTTTTTCGGACTGTCTTGTGTATTATACACCCTTGGGTGCTTTGTGTTTCTAATCTAGACTTCTCTCCTCTTTGTCTTATACTCACTCTACTTGGTTGTTCTGCGGGATTATTTTCTGGATACGAAGATCTGACCATCACTTTTGATTTCATGTACAATATCTTCTACTTCTTTGCCATTATTCTATCCAGGACTCAATTTTCATCTTGACAGAACATCTTTCTACCGGAACAATGGTAATAAACAGTAAAAGACTTTGGCCGCCTCTAACCAGATCCATTTTCGAGAATCTAAACCGTTGAATATGGGACAAGAAGGAACCCTTATATCAGACAACCCAAGTGTATCGCAATATGCACGAAGAAACAGTCACTCGTGAGAACAAAAAAAACCAAACAGAAGGAAATAAGAGATGCATTTAATCACGGGTGATCATGTGGCTTCTGGCAGGACCAGTACCAATCCACTTGACAGGAACACCACCAATCTCACGCTCAATGAACTCAATGTAAGCGCGAGCATTAGGAGGCAGATCCTCGTAGCGCTGAACACCCATAGTGTTTGACTTCCATCCAGGCAGAGTAACATACTCGACCTGAATCTTGTCGACGACATTAGGATCCGCAGGGAAAGTACCAGTAGTGCGCTTTCCATCGGGCAAGATGTAAGCGACACCAACCTTGATCTCATCAAAGTCATCAAGGATATCAAGCTTAGTCAAGTTCAGCGCGGTGTAGTGGTTGATAGCGTGAGAGTAGCGGCACAGAACAAGATCCAACCAGCCACAGCGACGACGACGGCCAGTAGTCACGCCGAACTCGCGTCCAACCTTCTGCAGCTTGTCGCCGTCCTCGTTGAGCTGCTCGCTGGGGAAAGGTCCGGAGCCAACACGCGTCGTGTAGGCCTTCACCACGCCGATCACGGACTTGATACTGGTGGGGTTCAGGGCAAGCGCTTGCACGGCTCCGCCCAGACCGGTTGATGACGAGGTCACGTACGGGTATGTGCCGTGGTCGAGGTCGAGCATGAGGGCGTTAGCACCTTCGACCAGTGTGTTGGTCGAGTCCTTGTGCGCCTGCAGGAACTCGAGCTGGTCGACGATGTAGGGCTTGAGGAGTGTGCGGTATTCCTAGAGATTGTCAGCGGTCTGTTGTGACGTGGATGCAGAAAATCAGGATTTTTCCATTTCTGCTGTCGCGCCATAGTCATTCGTCGGTGGAACGGGGAAATGGCCGTATTTTCATGCGTACCCTGAATCGTGCAATCTCCTCCTCGACATCGTATGCCAGGTCTCCGAACCGTGTGCGGTATGACATGTCCAAAGTGCGCAGTTTGCGCTCGAAGGTGGCCTCGTCTAGGATCTCGCCGACGCGAACACCGCGGCGTGCGGCCTTGTCGCTGTAGCAGGGACCGATACCCTTGCCAGTGGTACCGACCTTGCGGCCACCGAGACCCTTCTCCTCGAGACCGTCGACGACCGAGTGCAGGTCGAAGCAGACGTGTGCGCGGTCAGAGACGAAGATGCGCTGGGCGGCGCCCTTCAGGCCCTTGGCCTCGATAGCAGCCAGTTCCTTGAAGAAACTGGGGACGTGGAAGACGGTGCCGGCACCGATCAGGTTGATACATTTTGGCGAGACGAGACCGGAGGGAAGGATGTGGAAGTCGTAGGTAACGTCCTCGTGGACAATGGTGTGGCCGGCATCTGTATCCAATTGAAAAAGGCCGGTTGGTCAGTCACTGTTGGTTTTTGGGACGGCTCGTTTGAAAACTTCAACACTCCGGGGTAGAGGGATTGCAAAGCGAGTTGAACGTACTGTGTCCGCCGGCTGCACGGCAACAAAGTGTCGCAGTCTGCGACAGCATGTCTGTGATCTTCCCCTTTCCTGTTCGTTCATTAGCATGTCGAATGTCTCTGTCTGGTCTTGGTCCCCTTACCTTCATCTCCCCATTGACTTCCTAGAACGATTGAAACCATGATTGCACGCTTGAAAAGGTCACGAAGTCCGACTTATGCACGATCAATTGCTTTGGATGGTGGGGTAGGTTCGAAGGCGAAAGAGAATGTCTGGAGCCGATAGCGGGGCCAGGGTCAAGTTTGCCGGTGTGAGTTTTCAAGGCAAATTCGGCCAGGAACAATTCGATGCGAGGAATTTATACGTCGGCTATATGAAATTGACCTCTTTTTCACAAATTTGATCTTCTTTTCAGTGAGTCAGACCAATTTTCCGTGAACTCCCGTTGTCACAGATCCGGCGGGATGGCGGGGCCTGGTGCCTGGTGCCTTGATGCCTTGGCTTTCATCTGAGGAGCCTGAGGCAGAGAGGGTTAGGGCAAGGGTTCCAACGTATCCCAGGCTTTTCGCATTGCAATAGATGCAACGTTGTATGTACTAGATATTACTCGACTTGGAATGATTGAAGCTTTGAAATCAAGCTAATTTCATATACTGGCCTAACTGCTTGTGGTATAGCTGACCAGTAATCCCCAACTTTGCTAAATAGGTCGACTTAGTTACCTTCAGAACATTGAGAGGACGAAAGCCATGGGATAATGATGGATTGGTTAAGCTTGAACAACATAAGAAAAACCCTCCTAGTACCTAGTACAAATCCCGCTTCAACAACTCCATGAGAGAAAACACCGATAATAATAGAGCCCGATGAAAGAGTCAGGCAAATCTATGCAGATGTGATAAAATCCCGGGTATTCACAACAACACCAAGTCATTATGCATCGCAAAAGAGAGAGAGATCAAAAAGGCATGTAGAAGACATCAATAGAAGTGAAAAAAGAAAGAAGAACGGAGACGCCAAACTGCAGGAAACAGGTCAGATCAAATCGGAGAAGAGCCTCCCAATATTTAAGCTGAAGATGCAACGTAGATGCAGCTTCAGCAATGGCTTTCCATTTACCATGAACATTCAGTGATAAAACTCAAACCACCTTGCCGCCATCCCGGATCCACTCCCTCAATCGTCCAAGATCAAGGATACATTCCCGATGCAGCTCACAGGCAACTTCCCAATGCTTGCGCACCTGGATATCCTCCTCAATGCCACGGAGATAAGCACTAAAGCCGCCCTTACTGGTACCAGGGATGAGGAATTCGTCAACGTGATAATCATCAAGATCTTTACGGGTCTTTGTCGTGCCCTCGTTGCTGTCGTCGTCTGCGCCGTTTATTTTGAGACGGGTAGAGTCTCCGAAGGCACCGATCCAGCCCGGCGAAAGACCGGTTTCGTTCGCGTCTTGGCGCGCATTGAAATGCGTGAGTATGCGGCAGTTGAATGCATTCCATTCATGCATGTACGCTCCCATTGCTGAGACATACCAGTTCCATTTATCCCGCGGGAGGACGAGTTGCTTGGAGGTCGGGGCCAGGAGGACTGGTTTCGGGGCCCAGGGTCGCTTGGGTGGGTTTGGAAGTTGGAGTGTGCGAGGGCGGATGTCATCTCTTGTGGTCCTTTGCTGCTTGGCTTGGGATTCGAAGGGGAGAGTAGTGTGGATGTCTTCTAGGTTCTCGATGCCTCCGCCAGTTGTATTGGTGAATGGTACGGTATTGCGAAGATTCTCGAGGTTAAATAGAGGGGTGCGGGCTTCTGTGCCCGAAGGAAGCTTGGACTTCTTGACTGGTGGCGCATCTGGTGCAGCCTGAAAAGCCACATCGGGATAGCTACCACTGCTTGGTTTCTCAACTGGGGCCCTCGGCGGAATATTCTGAGTAGGAAGGTCCTCGTCGATATCCATCTCCTCAACGTCCGGTGCTGCTGTCTCGGCTGGCCCAGAAGTCTGGCCATTCAGGGTTTCTTTAGCTTCATCTGCTTCAGTAGCAACACTTGCCTGCTGCGGAGCGGTCCGCAATTTGATGCCTGTTCTAGGCTGTTTGTTTGGACTACGAGACGGCGCAGCGTTTGCCGTTTGTTTGGCTTTCTCGACCTCTGGTACATTCCACGAGAGGTTCCGAAGCTGTTCAGCCCATGAATCTGCAGAAAACTTTGCCTGTGCAAAGGGCGTTGGTGGTTGCTCTTGCTGTGATGACTGTGAAGTTTGATATAGAGGAGTAGGACCGAAAGGATTTGGAATCGGCGATCCAGTTGCTGATGTCTGAGCCGTTCCGGTCCGGAAGTTTGTACGGCCCCGATTCTGCGAGGCAGGCGATCTGGGCAGTGAATCCTTGTTTGGCGAGGCAGAGCCCAAGAAATCGAACTGACAAAAATGATCCCGCCAATCATCAGCAGAGAACTTCTTGTGCAAATCACTTGTGCTGCTCCGTCCATACGCGGCGGGCTGGGGCCTCTTGGGATTGTTTGCCGGGTCAGTGCTAATTCCGGTGTCCGTCAGATAACGCGAAGCAACTTGATAATAGGTGTACCTAACGTACTTGACAGAAGAGGAAGAACCAGATGGAGTAGATTGCTGGTCCGGCCGATACGAGCTTTTTGGGAAAGCAGCGCTATCCGAGGTGTGTCCTTTGGGTCCGTTGTTGTCAGCAAGGGTACGTTGATTAAAGAGGGGATTCCGAGGCATCGAATGGAGTTCGTAGCTACCATCTGGTAGCTGAACGGTTCGAAGCCCATTTGCGCTAAGGAAGGAGTTGAAGTCCATACCATTTCTGGGACTTGCTGTTCCTGGGTTGTAGAAGTCGGTAAACTTCTGATGCGGCCCGAGTCGACTCTTTGGCACAGCTTTGGGTTTGGGCCTAGGCTGTTCCCCTTCACTCGAGCTGGTAGAGTCATAGTTATTGGCATTCCGCCTGGGCGAGGGGCTAGCGCTACGGTATCTCCCAGACCGGCCAGAGGGAGGGCTGGCTTTACCTGTATGGGCGTTTTGATGGGAAGAACCTGAGGGGGTACGCGTGGTCGCGGAACGTCCTAATCCAGTGCTTGAGAAGAAAGTCCTCTCACCCTTGCCTGCCTGGGCATAGCTTCTGCTGGGTCGTTCGAACTCCGGGGTGTATGAATGGCGTGATTTGGGTTGAGGCGGCTCAGGTGATACTGGTTTCTTCGCAGTTGGGGGCACAGCAGACTTAAAGTATTGGCTGCTCATCCGTTCAGCCCTGTTGCTGCTATAGGCGGAGGTGTTGCGGGCCATCGGCTCGTCCCCTCCAGCGGCCCCTGGCGCAAAGCCCTGCTTCTTCTTGAAAGACTGTGCGTTGGAATGAGAGTTGTGAGCCTCGAAGGCAGACTTGGGACGGGTAGACTGCGCGGAGGTTCCAAAGGGATGACGCTGTGCCCCAGGACCTGGGACACCACCAGTGGCACGCCCAGTGGAAGGATCGAAGCCCTGCCATCCAGCTGCCTGTCCTCCTCTCATATTATTAAAGCCATGGAAAGCATCAGCCCTTGTTTGCGCATTGTCCTGTTGTTTGAATTGTTGCGGGCCGGCACGCGCATGAGATGCGTATCGTCGAGCGCCAGCCGACGGGGTAGTCGGGGCCGGCTTTGTGTACGAGTTTGCAGACGCCGGGGCTGGCGTAGGGCGAGGAGGATAGGTGGGGGTTTGTGTTTTGCGCTGGGTATTAGCCTTGGGCGGTCCGTAGCACTTGCCATATCCTGCGCGTAAACGATCGGTGTCATATTTCAGTCGTTGCGAGGGGTCACTAAGGATCTCATTGGCGGCCTGGATGGCCTGGAATTTGGCGTTGAACTCGACTTCTCGTCCTGGGTTCCTGTCTGGGTGGTACTTGAGTGCTTTCCCTCTCAATTAGCAATAGCCCCAATTATCACTTCAAAACATAGCTTCGCGAAACCCACCTAATTTCCTGAATTGCCTCTTGATGTCTTCAGCCTCCGCGCTGGGCTGGAGCCCAAGGTCCGCATAGTAATCTTTGCGCACGTCTGATTTCGCCATATTGTTCGTGTATTTCCGGCGAACTTATGCAGTTATAACAGGCTCGAATTGCATAGTCGGTGTTCAAGTAAATAATCGGCGGTCCCACGCATGTCCAGTCATAGAAGGTAAGCCCAAGGATAAGGTAAATCGTAAAGAGCACGTTGCACGCAATCAGGACCTTTTGAACAGGACTAAGCAGAACAAAAACGAATGCAATGTCTTGTAACCCTAGCAAAATCAAAGCCTCAGTCGTCAAATGTTGCCAAATGCTGCAATATTCAGTTCAGTGGGAAAAAAAAAAAAGGAAAGGGCAGAGCCTCCTTATATGCTCCGCGGTCTCGGTTTGCCGCAGGGTCCACTTCAAAAACGCTAGTCAGAGCTCGGCTTGGGAGAAACAGTTCGGAGTTTGCTCTTCGGGTTTGTGGCGATTGGAGGTCTTTTTCAGCGAGACCGGGGGAGTGAAGCGGGGGTAGGTGATTTGAATAGAAAATCGATGATCGAAGTGGGCACCTGATGTCGAGGTCAGGCAGTCGGGTCCAAGCGCAAATCGAAGTGAAGCAGCCAACAGGGCTACAGAGTTCTTTTGTGCGGTGAGTGCCACGATGACTGAGTGGAGAGCATTGCAGGAATTGTGTTGTTGGGAGAAAAAAAATAAAGGCGGGAGTGTTTGTTTTGACGCCGTTGCTGCCCGAGGCAAGCAACATAGCAATGCAAGGCAACTACAACATACTATATAATTCTCGATGCTATTGTTAACCCTAGAATTAATTATTTCCTGTCCTTGCAGATGTTCGTAAATCGGTATATATGTGTCTAGATGGTATCCAAAAGCAGGAAAAAAGAAAAATCACAGGCCGAATTATACAACCCTTGCTAAGCCCAGGTCTTTGGGGAAAAGGTGACAAGAAAGAGGCAGGGTAGGGGGATGAAAGAAATGCGAGAGAAGACACCAAACAAAAGAAATGAACCGGAACAACAGACATCCTAGACATCCCCTCCAGATGCGCCAGCCCCAGAGCCACCAAAGAAATAGCCCTCCAAAAGATCGTAATTGGGATTCTCACTCCAGTCATGCTGGAAATCCATAGCCATACCAAAGCCAAGATCAATCCCAACATTCTGGCCCAGGTTGTGACCCAAGGATGGTGCAGCCATAGTATTGTAATCAGGATTGGCTTCGCCTTCCATATTACCGTGGCCTTCGGCATCGCCCGACGCAAAATCCAAGAAATCAAGACTCATCCCTTGCGGAGTCTCAGTCTCGGCAGGCGGCAAAGCATGACCGTGGGTATTGCTACCGGGGGAGGCACTTTGTTGCGGCGAGTTCGCGTAGTAAAACTGCGGGTGGGGTTGTGGGGAGCTTGGATTCTCGTACTTGGGATAGTAATCCATCGACGGATTGCGCTGTCCATAAGACCGGGAAGACTGGTCTGCTGTGAAGTTGGGGGCTACCGATTCTTGAGGAGGGTAGGATGGCCCTGCGGGTCTATTTTCAGATCGGGTATGGTCGGTTAAGGGGGTATTATCGGTGAACAGGTCTGCTAAGTTCATATCGAACTTGGGGACGGGGCGGGACGGGCGTGCCGGAGTCGCTCGTCGGATTTGCCCTTGGCCTGCGCGGTGTCGTTGATCCATATGCTGTCGCGGCCGGCCGGGATGCAGTGAGCTGCTGCTGTTTGATGTGGCGTGGACACGGCTGATGTCTACTTGTGATCCGAATCCGGTTGTAGATAAACACATTTGAACGGTTGCTTTGCTCATGCGCTCGAACGCATCTCGGCATGCTTCAGCCGGTGGGCATTTGTGCATCAGATCGCCAAGAACAGAAGTTGCCGCGAGAACAGTAAAGTCGACTTCATCAAGGGTCTAAGAAAGGCAAAGTTAGAATAAGTATAAACCTAAATCCCAAGTTGGACCTACTAAGCGGCTTCGAACCAAAGGCGAATGCCAAATGGCATATAAGAAGGAGATTCCTGATAAGAGTGTCAGTAATGAAGCAAAGAAATGCAAAGAACAACAGCATACCAGCCATGAAAATATGATGCGTGGCGAGATAGGTGTAATTCACCAAGCGTACTCTGTGCAATTGGCGATAGATACGAATGACCTTCTGACCAGCCTCGGCAACATTAAGATAGACTTGATCCTCATCTTCACCTTCATCAGGATTAGAAAAGGACGGACTAGAAACGTCGTCCGCAGGAGTCAGCTCTCCCACCAATTCAGCCGGAACCGTCAAGCTCTGCTGGTACAGCAAAATGATAGCTTGCCAGTAATTCAACTCAAGCAGCTCAATGGAGAACCTCACGCCTGTTTCCGGCCGTGTCGGGGCAGTATCTTGCCACTCAACCAACCGGCGATGCACATCATAACGCCACGAGCGGAACGAGTCAAAGCCCTGAAGGAAAGGGGAGGAAAGCTCGGCGTGCGGGAGAATAACTGCACCGGCGCCTCTCCTCCGCACAGCGCGCGCCTGTTGGTATTGGAGGACATCGTGGATCTCGGATTGAAGCAGACGTAGTTTGAAGTAGTGGAATGCGACATGCTTATATGTCGAGGCTCCGTCCGGCGGTGTTAAAAGACCCGACTTGGTAATGTATTTGTCGTCCATCATAGACGGGAACTCTGTGCTGATGGCCTGATCGCTGATGCCGAATGGCCGTCCCACACACGTAGCTACCAGACGATCAAAGCTGTAGACGCACCACCACAACCGGCGACGGATATCGCGCACCCATTCACGACGGCCGCGTTCACGAGCATCGATCCGTGACTGCGCTTGGTTGCCGTCTTTCGTTGCAGAGTCAATGCCCGCTCCGTCCTCGTAATGAAGTCCAAGGTCGACGGCTAAGCGCATGGCCACACCGACGATGTACCAGAGACCCGGCGCAACAGGTCGTAATAGGGCAAAGCTGGCTAGAAGGAGCACTGCCTGCAGCTCTTCCAATCCACCAAAGCCCTCGCTAGAGGACGAACCAAGGAATGATTCCAAATGAATGATTGCCGAGGCATGGTATTCCTCCGGCTGGTACTGATGGCTCGAGAGTCTCGGTCTCTTCGTCCCAGACGAGGGCCGTTCACGACTACTGCGACTCTCATCATCCGAGCTTTGAGGCTTATCCTCAAAGATGATGCCAGCACCGATAGCAAACACGATATTAAGCACATAAAGCGCGCGTGGAGAACGCTTTTTCTCCTCTAACAAGTAAGTCTTATCCAACAGCTCCATGAAATCTCCCCGGTGGAGAATCGGCATCTGAGGATTCGCGTGTTCAAAGTAAAGATCGACCAGCCGTTCAGCCAGCTCCCGGTCAGGGAAAGTCGCGCATTTCATCATCGGCCTTGTCTGCAGTCCGAAGAAGGAATCGCGCATACTACCCCCACCCCCAGCAGTGCCCGCAGCACTCTGGGGCAATCGATCGCTCGTTCGAATCGCACGGTCCGGTATATTACCGGGTAGTGAGCTCCTTACCGCAGCGAAGACGACACGGGCAAACGAGATTCCCGATGTTGACCCCAGATAACGCGGGTCGGAAGTACCCTGTACAGAGACCATACCGATATTCGAGACCAGATTATGCAGGCGCCAATTATCCTCATTCGCAGGATCATCGTCCGCGTCACGATTACCCCCCTCTCCTCTCCGCTCTAGTCGACCGGCATTTTCTTTCGATGTATTCCTCCACTGTGCTTTCTCCGCTGCAGACCCCTCCCCAGCCTGGCCGTCCGAGCCGGGACGAGGTTGCGCGGCGTCGCCATCAGCTTCGAGCTTGATAGCCTCCTCCTCGTCGAAAGCGACGACCTTCTTAATTTCAATGTTGTTATCCGCTAATTGTTTTTCGAGATGTGCTACGCGTGCCTCCAGGAAATAGACATAGCTGCGGGGGATCTCCCGCTTTGTGATTGGGTCGTATCCGACGCAGCGCACGCCGGCCTTCTCACATGACTGACAGCGCGGGAGGCGCTGGTCGCAGCGATTTTTGCGCAGTCGACAACGGTTACAGGCGGAGACATTGCGGAATGAGGAGGAAGCAGACGAGGCGGGGACGATGGAATGGGCGGGCGAGGTGGAGGGCACCGCTGTCGGGGCGGAGAGATTGGAAGCAGAATTCGTCGCGGGGTCAGTTTGGGCTGGGGGGGTATTGGAGGGATGTGGTCTCTTCTTGCCTGAAGAGACTGGTGATAGCGGCGAGGGAGGGTTAGGCATTGTGAGAACCGAGAGACGAGAGCCGCAGAGTCGCGATCATCTCTTGGTGGAGTTTTGCGGGGACAATGGTCGGGAACTGCGATTTAACTCCCCCAGAGCAGATCAACATGATAAGACCACGAAATACCTTTAGTGTTCGTCTATGTTTCGTTCGGTGATTGGAGATTTATCGTGCCAATCGCGCCAATCGTGTCAAATCGAATGGAAAAGAGATTGGCCCCAAAACGGAAACCTCGGAATTAGATTATCCTCCGAGCAAATAATTGCAACACGCGACCATAGACGAGACCTGTGAGAATATGAGGAAGAGAAGAAACCATAGTCAGAGTGTATTGGCGGAGTTGGGAAATTGAGTTACCCCGGGAAGAGATCTCGGGTTTCCCAGGCTCTGACATGCCGAGATCTAATCGGACTCCAATCGGACTTTGATGGACTTGATGGACTTTATCGGACTTTGATGGGAGTTCGATGAGACTTTGACGGGACCTTTGTTTGAAGAATGAAGATTGAATCTGATATAGCTTCATCTAGGGAGATTTGGTGGACCTCCCCCACTCCCCGCTGTCAGGTTTACGACAAGGCATTGGACATGAGGGGGATGAGAGCGGGGGGAGAACAGCGGGGAGGGGGGGATTTATAAAACATGCTGGCCGTATGATCTTGTCAATATTAAGGAGTAATTGCTTAATCGACCGGACACCGTCGGAAAACATATGCTAGCCTGTAGTGAAACCATTGTCTAGAATATAGCGCAAGAAGGAGTGAAACAGGCTAGGAGGCATGAAACTATGAGACTACATGGCTAGAAAAT